TGATTGTATTATGCATAATTTGGCGCGGAACTGGTTAAATAAAGGAAATCGGACATCAAACAGTGATTGGGTCTTGGGTCTGAGGCCATCGAATGGCTTGAGATCGAATGGCAGAGCTCTGATATGGAACTTAAACTTTTTCGGGAAACCTTAAGTTTTTTATGGTTCCTGGCTAAATTACCTTACTGCTATTTATGAGAGACAATTTCATTGTCAGATTTTATTTGCATAAACTTTTACTTTTTACAGACCAGACAAATTGGGTCAGGTTTTGAACGGGTTCTGATTGTAAACTGTTTGGGATCTTTGTTCTGTTGTTATAAGTTACATATGTAAGCATAAGTATGTTTAGCGAATTAGGGGATACCACGTTTAAATCTCACTTTTATGTGTAAGAACTATTTATTGTACGTTGTTAATTTCCCTGCATTTGAAATGTTGTCAAGTTAACATATTGATGGCCCTATTCCCCATGGGATCTAATTAGAGCAGCAGCAAAATGCATCATCAATACTCGTATATTATTCATTTATTCCGTTTTGGACAAAAGCTCTCTGGCGAAGCAGAAATAATACATCTTCTGTCACATGCTGCTTATCCATATAAATCATCTTCGACTGTCCATGGCTGACATCAAATCTCTTAATGTATACAAATCATATTTTCCAATTCTAACGCTTGTAACCTTCAACTCCACCCAAAAATAACCCATTTTAGCCAGATCCCAACGGCATCGCCCAATTCACGTAGCAAATCACTTTACAACTGTCAGACAAACAATGCCAAAAGCTGATGGCCAGGAGAGGATTGAGCGGAAAGTGTTGGCCAAAATGGGCGAGCAGCCTGGTTGCGGCCAGGGGGCGTGGCAGATGAAAGATATCCTTCGCCGGATGCTGTTCGGCATTTGACTTTATCACGCAAATTGATTGCTTTGACCCGAAACGATTGACGAAATTTGATTGATAACTTATTAAGTTGCCCATTGTCTGAAACTGTGCGAGCTGTGGGCGTGGCTCGCCCCTATCTAATTTTTGCATGCCGGCTAAAGTTTGTGCGCTTGTCTTGCTCACTTCTTGAGTCACGCATCGGTGAATGGCTAATAAAGATAAATATACAAGATGCCAGTTGCCAGATGGCAGTCTCCACCACATTCGCCTCACATTTTATCTGCACTTGCCCAGCAGCAGGTTGCGGCCTGGCGAAATAACAAAAACACAGATTTAAATCCACGAATATATCACTTTTGTGCTGTCTCACATAAAAATATGTAAAAAAGAAAGACATGCAAGTTCTAAAAGCAGCCCAAAGGCCAGACAAAACACCAGAGATGAGTGGCCTGAGGCCAATGAAATTATTGGCCGGACCTGAACACCCAAAAGGAAAAATAAACATCAGCGTCAACAGCAAAAAATGCTAATTCAAAACAAGCAGATTTTGCGGTTTATGCAAATGCCTCTCAGACCAGAATAATACCCAAACAAGTCATAACAGCCAGGGCAGCAGCCACAAAGATTCCGCTCGTTTGTACAACTTTGTGTTTGAAAGCTAAATAAAAATAAATAAAGATTTGATGTTCCTTGGAAGAAGTGCAGTCAAATTTATATAAGCTGGAGTGCAGGCACTTTCTGCTTACTCCTTAAAGTTAGGGTGGACTTAGGCATTTAATTAAAGATTATATCCACATACTTGCAATAAATCATACAGATATTCTTTGTTTAGGTAAGAGTTGTAAAAAGCATACATATATTGGCAGGCAAATAAAACAACTTTTTGTAGAAAATACAAGCAACACAAACACGCTAAAATCTATGATGCTCAGCTGCGTCAAACTGTGCAGTTCAAGGCTATTTCGTCTTAGCCCCAAGTCATTTTACTTTGAGCCAGAAAAAGTTGAAAATAGCAGGCCGAGATAATGCCGAAAATGCCTTTCTTTTCAACTACGACTTCTTCCAAGTCTGCTTTTTGGCCCTCTTATGTTTATTTAACACACTCGCACACACTCGCACACACTCGCACACACACGCACATACTCGTAAGGGCCAAAATGAGTTTGGGCCAAGAGCAATAATTCATTTTGACTTCCATTCTCGGCTGACTCTGATGGAAAACCTTTCTCCTCGTTCTATCGCCTCCAAATTGAATTCCAACTTAAACATCATTTGGCTATTTTGGAATGGAAACGATTTCGCACATGCCGCAGTGTTTGTGTTTGCTTATGTAAGCTGCCCTGCTGAGCTGCGATATTGATTACATTTTTTACCAGCTCTGAATATCCGTTCATTAGACTGGTTTGATTTGTCCTAACATCTCACAATTTCTGCACACATTTTTATTTGTTTTTCGCTTAGATATTGCATATATGCTTAGGAGTAAAGTTAAAGATGTAGAGATATTAACGTGAAACATTTTTGTTAACTGTTTAAGTACTATTTTTCCTTTAGCCCTAAAACAGTTAGCTTCTCGACCTATCAATTGTAAACTTTCCCTGACCAATATTTGTACTTTGTTCTTCTTTGCTCAAATTATTTGTCTTTTTACTTGTTTTTCAGCATTTAGTTGCAAAATAAGTTTACTAGAAATGTCGTAATTTAGTAGCAAAACTTTTCCAGAACATTTTTATTTGGGTATTGGGTGAGAAAGAACCGCAGAATGGAAATGCGGGTTAAATAGTTTTCAAATTCATTCGAGTATGATAATCAATAAAGTACAATTAATCACTGAAAATCACTTACTTTATTTTCAGGTGAGTCTGCAAACTTTTAAGCCGACAAGTCATTGGATCTTGGGAACACGCACAGAGATAACAGACTGCCGCAATCAAAGTTGGTTATGGGGTAAGTGAGACGTGGAAATTGGCTCAACAATTTGGCTCAAGCTCAACACTTTCCTCGCCTCCACCTACCGCCACCGCCGCCGCCCCATTTTCCGCCCACTCCAAGTGTGACCTTCAAAGAGCGACAACAATGGCGCATCTTCTCCCATGTGCTTTTCACGCGGCGCGGTGTCTGACTGCCGCCTTCTTTTTTGGGTCATTTCCGCGATTTGGTTTTTGGCTTTTGCTTTCCACGATGTCGAGATCGAGAGACTTCCGTCTTAGCCTTGCACACAGACCCCAATCTGAAGTGTTTACTGTTTACACTCGTTTTCGTTTAAATTTGCATTTTAATTTATTTTCCCAATGTCTTTGTTTTCTCTCTGTTTTCCTGCACCTTTTCCCTTCTCACCACCTGCGGTGACCATTGCACAATTCATAAAGTTCCATTTCACGTTTTTGGCACTTTGCCTAAAACTTGCTTCTAAAGCACGAGGGCACAGAGTGACCATGCAATTCCGCCACTGTGCAAGGTCACACTATCTTGCATAAAAACTCAATGTGGGAATGCTTTTAGGTATTATCGCTGTTTCTTTTTTATTGCTTTCACTGAAACTCTGTTTTTTCTCTGTGTAATGTTTCTGTTACACTTAGTTATAACTATTTGCTGTTATTGCTGTCATTTGCCAACTGGGTCCATTTCTGTTTACATTTGGCCTTTTTCTGTCTTCCGGCTTCGCCCGTTTTGCTTGCAATTTATGCACTGACCTGTTTCCATTAAAATTTCGTTCGTTTTCTTTTTCATTCTGCTCACATTGCTGTCTCTAATTAATTTCAACGTTCACTTATGCGGCTTTAATGGCGAGCACTTGTTTTTACCATTTGAGGAAACTAAAAACTTGAAATGCAAGTGGCTTGATGCAGCTTTGTATGCTAACTATACAACTTAGAAAATTATTTATAAATTATTATAATTATTATTATTTATATAAATCTATAGAAATTTACGAGATATATAAAAAAGTGAAAAAATATCACATTTTTCAAAAGTGTGGGCGTGACAGTTTTGGGCTGTTTGTGGGCGTAGGAGTGGGCGTGACAACAAACTTGCGCTGCGTCTCTGGAAGCTACCTGCTTAATATCAACATTGTAGCTTTTGTAGTTCCAAAGATCAAGGCGTTCATAGTGACAGACAGACGGACATGGCCAGATCGGCTGAGCTATTGATCCTGATCAAGAATATATATACTTTATATGGTCGGAAACGCTTCCGTCTGCCTGTTACATACTTTTCAAGGAATCTAGTATACCATTTTACTTTACGAGTAACGGGTATAAATGATGTAATGATGCTTTAATATTATATTTCTCAGTTCAATTGTTCATGTTCATGTTCAGCATGTAAATGGCATCTGACTAATATGCTGAATAATTTAAAATTTATGCTGAAGGAAGTCCGCCCTTGTCGTTTACATTTAAATAAAAGGGTAAATGACAGTTTTGCCATATCAGCGGCACCTTTTTGTCCATTTACGTGATAGCCTCCGACCCAGCACTAAAAACAGTTTATTTATATTTATTCCTGGCTTGTTTTGTAACTGTTAGCTTGTTTCAATTTATGGCAAATTTATGCATTACGCTTCGTTAGCCTATTAAACGCGCCCTGGCAGTCCATTCAAGTCATTCACATAAAGCGCAGGAACAGGATCAGGATCAGAATGAACTTGCCCCCGATGCGGGCAATAAAAAATGTTTATCAATCGCTGCCACAAGCACGCTTCGCAGGCAGCAATGCGAAGCCAAATTTAAATGAGCCGCAAAGCGAAAATAAATGTTTTAAAATATATATCCCTGCACATGCAGTCGCCGAGGTAACTGCGTCAATTAAAATGGGGTAGTTAAAAGTGCAATCAATGATTATTTCAAAGTGTCGCACACAGCCATCGAAACTTGGAAATTAATGCTCTTGGCCAAAAAGTCCATTAACATAAATCGCTTACAGTCAACATATTTTATTTAATTCTCTTATGGAATTATACGGTGATGCAATGAATATTAAAGTGAAGTGTTCTTGTGTGTTCCGAGATTAAAATATGCGGACATGCGATCTAGAGCAAGGGAATCTGTGCGAATTAATTATTTTTGCAGGCCAAGCCTTTGTAGCCAATAAGGCAATGTGGCAAATAGGTAGCCTGTTATTGTCATAAGTATTTGTAGTTCAGAAAGCCAATTTGTATTTTACTTGTATACCTGAATATTTTATAACGTACAGAAATCTATACAGCTTCTTTAACACAGTAATCTCCATAATTTTGTCCAGTTAGCAAAAATAACTTGGAAGCAGTCTATCCTATGTCCATCCGGTGTTCTTCTTGGAGAGAATGACCTTCTGCATGTGCTCATCCGCGGTGTGGGTGGTGTGACTTCCGCCCGCGTGACGCGGAGTGCACTTGACCATGGGAACACCGGCGGTTCCCTTGCTCCAGGCACTGGTGGAGTGTGGGAACTCGTCCTTGCGGTAGTAACCCATGATGCCCGACTTGCGGATCTGGCCCAGCTCGTAGGTGACAATGGGACCCAGGCCGGTGGAGCCCTTGGCATTGGGCAGCGAGGGCACCTTGGATCGCTCCACAGTTCGCATTACGCAGGTGGTGTCGCAGGCCAAACAGGCCAGATCCTGCATGACCTTGACCCTTCCGGCAGCTGCGGCACAATCGTCGTTGGTCATCTCCATGTACTTCTGCAGTGCCTCGGCTATGAGCTGCACCCGCCGCTCGATCGTCTCCCGGAAGTCCTTGAGACTCAGCTCCAAGGAATCGATGCCCAGTGTCATTCGCAGATTGTCGATGATCTGCAGGACGTTCTTCTCATTCAAGCTCACTATGTGGCGCACCTCGCAGAACATCTGCTCCAGCCGGGCCTTGTACTCCTCCAGCTGCTCCAAGGACACCTTTGTGGCCAGCTGCTGGAAGTCCACCTTCTCGGCCAACAAAAGCTCCACCTCCGTCTTGTCAATCTTCACCTCATCCAAATGGGAAGCCGATTTCTTCAGGACCTGTATCTGGTACACGCAGTCATTGAGGCGAATCATCATGCCATTGGTAACCTCCTTGTTGCTGGACATGTAGAGCTTGATATCCCGCACTGTTTCCGATAGATCCTTCATCTGGTCCATCAGTCTCTGGGAGTCCTGTTTCAGCAAGGCTGCAGCGAGTTCATTGACCTTGTTGGTCAGCGCACAGAATTGCGACTTGAGGTCTAGGAGCTCAGTAAGCATTTTCTCTGGCGAATAGCAAAGGGGCTGTTCCAAGTCCAGTTCCTCCTCTTCCTCGGGCTTCTCCACCTCCGTGGGCGCACTCGACTCCTCCGGGACCTCCTCCTCCGACAGGCCCTCCTCTTCCTGACCGCCCACCAAGTCTCCACTGGACCAACTCATAGAAACCTCATCACCAGTTGTCAACATCAGCACTCTCAACTGCTTGGCTATGTGACGGAGTATCTTGAACCTCTGCGGATTCGGCTTGCGATCGATCAGCAAGTGGGTCATATTGTTCACCTGCTCCATGGTGATCTTCAGCTGGCCGGTGAGATTGCTCACAAACTGCTTGAACTCCATGGCCGTCTGCTCCTTTTGCAGTTCAACCTTGGAGAGACGTCTTTCGAGACGCATAAGATTATTGCTAATGGATCCCTCCTGACTTTGCGACTTCTCGCGAGCGGATGATCTCGAGGAGACGCGTGAGGCCTGCAGAGCCATCTCCTCACCCTTGGCCTCGGCCGGCACATCCTTCTGAGCTTTTGAGGCATCTGCCTCGGGCTCGGAAGGAGGACGCTCCTCGGGAGCCGGAGTTGCGGATGGAGTTGGTTCGTGGGTGGAAGCCACTGGCTCTGGAGTGGCTGCGCCAGTCTCCGCAGGAGCTGCTTCCTCCGGGGCTGCCTCCTGTGGAGCTGGTTCCTCTGGAGCAGGCTCTGGAGCGGGCTCTGGAGCAGGCTCTGGAGCTGGCTCTGGTGCTGGATCCGCTGCAGGAGCCTCTTCGACTGGCGCAGGTGGAGCCTCTGCCGCCTCGGCCGGTGGCTCCTCCGCCGGCTCGGCTGCTTCTCCTTCCTCGGCATCCGCACCGGCAAAAAGACGGAACTTCGAGGTGTTGCCCAAGGTCACTATTTAGTAAAAGCGCATTGAGATGCTTTGGGTTCTAGTTGCACCTAATGGATGAAAATTCCCCCCACTCACATAAACTGCTTTGCAAGCGCACATTGGCCACCATATAGTCTTCCTGCTCGACAACCTCATCCAGGACCTCCAATCGCTGGGCAAAGCACGTGAGCAGCACATGCAAAGCGTAGAAGTTAACGTGTCCTGATTCCGGGGAGCCAATGGCAACGTCTATAAGTTCCTTATACGTAAAAGTCATTTCGTGTAAAGTGCCCGAATTTAGTGGCAGTTCCTGCGAAATATTCGATGAATTTCTGTCCCACAAATGTGAGGCAATACCAAAAATGCAGAGTAAGCCAAATGTGAACTGAACCGAACGAGCTTGTTATGTGAATTAGGAAAGAGTACAAAGCCTTGATTGAAAATTCACAGCCTGGTGTATTGAAACAGTTACTCGAGGAAATTTTATGAAAAACAAGTGATTTCGGTCAAGACCCAAAAACCCAAATTAATATTTGAGGGCGCAATATTTCCATATTCAATCCATTAGGTAAAATGTTATAGCAGTCATTGTGGTAAACCGAAATTAGTTGAGTATTAAGGAAAATAATGTTATTAATTATATTCGCTTAAATTGAGTTACTCAACTCCCGTAAGCTGCGCAAAAACGATTTAAATTACTCCTCATTGGTTCGGTGCGGGTAAATACCAAATCTGTTTTACTCGAGCTCCGTTTTGTGGCTGCGAAAAATGTTCCACAGCCATTAGGGCTTAATTAATTTTTACACCATTTTGTGTTTAATATTTTCTTTCCTGGCAGTTATTATGATTGCGTTCGGTTAATGAACATCATCAACACCATTAAGTTTAATTTTATGGAACGGCTTCTTCGCTTTTATTTTTGATCCGGCACCAAGCGAGATGCAAAATGATTGCGGTGTGTGAGTGAGGATGATGCAATTAAGTGGAATCGACGAGAAGTGTCTTTCGAATCGTGATTGTTCTCAATCCGATTGAGACACTTGGCCGTTAATAATAATGTTCCAATTAGTGGCAAGAAGGCCCAGAACGAGCAGAGCCCATTGGTTACCTTTGCAAGGACACCAAAACCTGCAGGCTTTCAGAGATAGTCGGGAGTGAAATCCCATTTGTCATGCTCCCATTGCAATCCACTCGACTTTTCCGATGTGCGGGGCAATAGGCAACCCTCAAATTGGATGGATGTTTGTGGATGTTTGTGGCCTCGTAAAATCTAATTTAAATGCAAACGCAAATGTCAAAATTGTAGAATTAAAAATCACATTCGGTTTGATTCAGGCAGACAGCCGTACCAGCTTCCAGCTTCCAGCATCCAGCTCAACTATTGCTCATGGGGAGTGTCTGTGGCAGAAAACGGTAGACGGGGCGTATACGCAACATATTTTCAGCAAACTGTCACATCGCGTATACGCAATCAGTCGGCAGTCAGTCAACAGGATGCCACATATTGGTAAAAATTCACACGGATAGTAAAGTCCACATAAAAATAAGAAGCCATGAAGGAAAATCTATAAGGGGTCGTTGCTGCGATACCCTTTAGTACAACTTATAGGTGCCTTGAGTAAAAACTAAATGGGTTCGCAATTGCTCATATTATTTTGTAACAACACTTGGTTTGAGTTAGGATATAACGAATTATCACATGTTTTTATTAGCAATTATTAACTCGTGCATGCCTGCGGTTCAGCAGGGTATTGTGAAAAATAACAAAAACCCCTGGTTATCTGGGAGACGCGTTTGAAAGGATTTTACATCAAACGTCAACTATGTTGATTGAACTGCCTGAAAGCTGTACACCTCTCATTCTCATCCCCAAAACCAGGATATATATATGTACCCGGTAGCCCACATGGGTGGCCATCAAAAATAACAAATTTTTTACCAATGGCAAGCTAAATTTCATCAATATCAAATGGTGAGCGACCAAAAAAGGCTCCGAGAAATATTGATAAACATTAAAAAAGTGTCAGGTTTTTGCTGTCATCGAATTATAAGCTCCATGATGTCGGACAACCGGTTTAAAGTTGAGAAGTTATAAATGGATGTTTAAGCGAATAACTCATGGTTACTGCAAATATTTCATTACAATTGAAATTCGTAAAGTTTCATTTATGTGCCATGCGGTTTGTGTGCTTAAAATGTATACCTTTAATTTATGCGCAGACATCGAGCGACAGGAAGGCAGCCAAAATTGCAGCTCGGGTCGCAAAAAGAGTTGGCAAAGAGTCCAGACAGACATTCCCGTACACACAAACACACAAACACACATACACGCATACACGCACGCCGTTGCACAGGAAACGGAAACGGAAATATGCGCAATTTCTCAACAAGACAGTGTCTGCAGCTAAAACAAAAAAAGGGGCAGAAGCGCCAGAACAGGAACTTCTCGTTGTCATTTTCATTTCTTCAACTTTCCTCAGAAGCGGCAGAAGTTTTCCCACTGTTTGAGTTTGCCTCAAATGTTTCTTTGTCCTGAGCGCATTTTTAATATCAAACAGGATTTGCCGAATGGAAAGTAAGTCATAGAGAAACTTTATATAATTATGCAAGTGTCTGATAAAACTGTTGGAAGTGTGTGCCGGCAATTTATGCATAATTAAAACTTGATTATGCGGTTTTCGAGCCGGCACTGCGTTGGAGTGTACTTTCTGAATACTTTTTTAAATGAGTTCGGAAACTGTTTTGTTGACTCTGATTAAGATTTAATATTTTCCATTAGCTTTATTCCACTTAAACATCGATTGCACTGCATGAAAAATCTTTTCGTGCATCGTTCTCAATGGCCTGCCCTTCCACTTGAGCAAATTAATTGAATTTGTCAATGGCACTTGGCCAGGTTTATGATTTTATGCTTCTGTCAGCCAAGTAAAATTTTGCCTATCCAGCATTTGTGCAATAAATAAACTGAGAATGATATCTTGTCAATTATTGTGCAGCCAAGACTTTGTTTCGGCAAAGAGCTGAGCAATTAGAGATGATTTGCCAACATTTGCATTTGGCACTTGGGTCAAATGCACAATGAAGAAGTTAATTCCCGCTCTGCCTCAACGTTTTCCCCAGCTTCTTCCATCGTTACAATGGGTCGTAAAGCCAAGTCAAGCGATTTGCTCGCAGCAAGTAGCCAAAAGCAGAAGCACTGTAAAGCCAAAGCCAAAGCCAAAAGCAAAAGCAACTCCAAGCCGCCGGGAATCTCAGTTGGTGGCGAACAATGGACGGCGATAAATGGCAAGTCGCAATAACATTAACCGTTAGCCAGGTCCTCCCCCCACTTCCCGCTCTTCGGGCCAAAAATGCCCAAGCTGACCCAATTCGAATCGAGGCGCGTTCCCAGCCAACTCTCGACTTCAACTCTTTCAAACGGATGGGATCCAATCGCCGCAGCAACAACAGCGCCGATTCCATTTTGTCTCTGCTCCCATATTTGGAGCAAGCGCACACACACACACACTCAGAATGTTGGGGAGACAGTACACTGAGAGAAACTATAGAATGGTGTAATATATGTTAGAGCATTCTTTATTGCTCATAGCTTTAGCTCGAGCACCACATCATCTTTCAATAAAATAAGAGTAATTTTTAACACTTCGAAGTGCCACGAATCTAAATCAGTTTTCTGCTTGTGTAGTGTTGTATGTTTTAAGCAGCCCATGCTGGCACTTATTCCACACCCTCCCCTTGTCCACTGTTTGTGTGGCAAGCCGCTGACGTAATTTACTTGAACAGCGCCAAATGCATTTCCTATTAGAGATGGCCAAGTGCCTCTGGTAAAATGGCAGTAAGGTGCGTTCGTCGTTACGCAAAAACTCGAATGGCAAAGCTGAAAATGGGTCAGTGATGGAGCGAGTTATGATGAGGTCGTTTTGCTGGAAGTGGGTTAGGCTGTGAATAATTGGATGATTCGATCTTAATGTACCGTTTCAACTGATAAAATATTTTGTTTTGAGCGTGTATAAAAAGCAAATGCACAATTATGTATAAATAGTACGATAAAGTTTGTCTTCTATCGCCCATCGCCGTTTAATGGCAGCATGGTTCAAGTAGACGAAAATGTGACCGCAGTTAACTTGGCGCAAATGTTTGCGAGATTCCTCGGCCAACAGTGCGTATGTGTGATGTTGAGCAAGTACATATGTATCTACGAGAATATTTGTCCACTGCCGTTGTTGTTGCTGTTCAGGTCTTCCAGTTGGATTTGCAATTCCGTTGACCAACTTTTTCATTGAGTTCTCGGCTCGGGCAGTTTTAGCCTTAACTTCTGAATTCTGCTTGCCAATTTAATTAGCCATTAAAAATGAAGAAGTCGTGCGTTTAAGCGGCAGCGAAATGCACGGCCATGCGTCGAATATTTTCCATAAATATTTTGTCTGTTCCGCTGGCACACATTTGCAATATTTTTTATCATTAAAAAGAAGAGATGCGCGTCCTCGCGGATAATTTATATTTATGCCGCATCGGTCGGATGGCAGCGAAATTTACGCAGATTTCTTTGTGCCTCTGCTCGACACTTAAATTTATTTATGCTGATATGTGAGATTCGCTTCATCATCATTTCTCCTCCTCCCGAGTATCTGCCACTTAACACCTTTCTGGCAGCATCTGCCGCCACGCCCAAGCCACGTTAATAAATGTCGCCCCCCTCCAGCCGCCGGACTTCTGGCCCCATCTTCCAGCACCCATCTTCATCCCAGTTTCCTGCCACGGCAACCTCCTGACAGATGGGTTGATCTGCGTGGCCTTAACTTCGCCCTCAGTCTGTCTGCCAAGGAACTGGCGAAACTGGAGGCGATGTTACAAAGTTTTTAAAGCTTTAAGCCGGGCGAGCGGTTCCCATCCAAATTGCAAATATTTGCTCCGGGCGGGGGAGAAACGGCAAGAGGACCAAGACCAAGAGCAACCAAACAAACAAGGTTTACAAGACTCATATCAATAATCCCATTTTGGCAGATTCTCTGGGATTCGCTTGAGAAACTGGAAAATCGGTTGAGCACGGAAAAGTAATGTTTCGCCAGCAGTCAAGCCAAATTAAATTTGTTTGGCACTTCAACCTACACGAGAGTAGAGTAATTTGGCAAAAGACTTAAAGGCATCCAAATGCTTATAATAGAAGTATACAAAATATGTAAAAGACAAGCTACAGATATTTGAAACCATACATATACAGATATAATAACATTCAATACAGCCAGTCAAATCAGAAAAAAATTGTTAAACTCCAAACGTTTAGGCCAAACCACATTAGTTAAGGCCACTTACTCAAGCGGATGCGGCTTTTAGCCACATTATTAGCAGCCAATATGTACATTTTTTGATAGCCCAACCCTGTTTTACATATTCCCATATAAAGAAATGATTTCATCGGAGCCACACAAAAAATGTACGAAAGCAAAAACGACGAAGGCGTCCATCAGCAGCCCCCACAAAAAATTCCCATTGTTCGGCATACATCATTACGATATAAAGTACCCTATACATATATACACACCCATCGGAGGGGCTAATTGCTGGCAAACAATTGGCATCTTCAATTACAATTATTTGCCATCACTTTGCAGAGCTCAAGTGCCAATAGTCTGGCCGAAAATGGGAAAATACGGGTGCAGGTGAGCCACTTGAGTCTGCCCACGAGTATTCATAATTTAAGCCCATCTCCTTACTCCTTACTCCTTACTTATGCATACGACAACAGGTAAATCAGTAATAAGCCGCTTAAGACGCGTGCTCCCCCAGATTGCAGTCGCACATACACGAATTTACATACTATATATACATAAGTATATACAGGTGCAGATGACAGAAAAGTATGTAGGAAGACAGCTAGTAATCCCACCTGCCCTCACCTGAATGTGCCGCTCCTTGTTGTTAAGGCTGATTTAAGCTTAATTTCCATTTAATATGAGATTTTCCGGCAAGTTCTTATGATGCTTGTAAAGGGAAAGGGAAATCGGTAGAAACTGAGAGCCTCTACTAAACATAATCCCCCGATAAAATCCATATAATGAGTCCTAATTATTTACATCATTAGAATTTCCAATATGAGCTTAAGACAAAGAGTATTTCGAGTTCCATCACCCCACTTTTCCAATGCGATTTTCTTTTTATTGCTTACTTTTAATTATTGAGTGCTGAAACTTATAATCCGCCTCAGTTTTTCGGTTTTTTCCCTTCGTTTTCTGCCATGAATATGCAAATTTCTGCAGCTTAGCGGCCTGGTGGGTGGGGCTGGGCTTACTTTGCTGGCTCTCCATGGATATCCATATCCCACTATGCCCTATTATTATTTAAGGTCTCTGGCACTTGGCAAGGCTTTTGCATATTTTATTATGAATTTAAGAGGGAATTTCAGCTGAATTATGGGCTGTGGGCAGGGCAGTGGAAGAGTGCTTATCATTGCAGTTTGTTGGCTGAATAATTCATGTACCGGAGAGCAGTGCAATCGCCGCTTTCTGGAAAAGGACTTTTATGATTTTTATACTCAGATTTCCTTCATTTCATTCCGTCGGTGCCCAGTCGGTTCAATAGAAAATTGAAAATTGAGAATCTCAACGAGCGACTGAGTATGTGCCTGTGTGTGTGTGGCTTGCTATAATTCAATTTACTGCGCAAAATAATAAAAAAAAACTGGGAAATAGAAAAAGTTTCATTAAAATTCAACTGCATCAGCAAGATTGTAACATCCACGCAGACAAACGAAGGTGGACCACAAAACCGCCAGCAAATCAATTGGAAGCGAACTCCACTTTTCACTCGCCCTTCGAAATCGAGCCATTTCATGCCAAATTGAATGCAAGAATTTAATTAAGCTCGCTTTGCCTTTTTTGCAATATTATTTTATTGCACATAAACATATAGTGGCACATATCTGCGCTGTCTGTATGAATATCATTTGCAATATGTTTGGCTTACTTTCGCATGCACAATTTGTTCTTTGATTTATTGAATGGCCCCACTAACTATGAATTCGCAAAAGCAGCGAACAATAAATTCATCTAGTTGGTCGAAGGACGGTGGTCCTTTGGAGATTCGATTAATGGCGTCATAAAGCCATTTGCAAGGTGTCACTGCCACAAAGGACGAACTAGGACAATGGAAACCCAGTGGCCAAGAGGAGCTGATGTATCCACAAAAGAGCCAAGAATAGCTTTCGCCTCGATATCACATATTACACAGTGTTAATACTAATAAAAATCAGCCGTCCTTGAAATTACTTCCTGACTTGGCAGTCTTACGCATTCTCCAAAAATAACCACTTAATCTGCATCCGCACTATTACCAACAAGCTTAAGCCTTTAAATGGATGCCAGTACGGAATGTGGAAGCCGGTTAGTTTGGCACTTGCATCCAGCAGATGCCCTGCATTTGAGCACGGGGCCAAGTGCACTCACATAATTCCTGCCCTCAAATGCAGTAAATACAAATTTATTTTACACTCCTACATTTTCGGTTGGCCAGAGGCGGCGAGAAAGGGTAGTTTTCGCGCTGGGGATGGGGGTCGTAGTGCTGGTAACATTGTTGCCAGCTTTATGGGGCAACAACAGGCACAACAACCGACATGTACACAAAACAATTATTGCCCGTAGGTAATTTAGTGGAGAAAACATTACCAGCAAACCCGAGGAGCAAACGAGTCCGGCAGAGAAATGTTTTATGTCTGCCAGGTCCCTCGATGCCGCCTCTTTCGCCAGCGATTTTTGGGCCCTCCTCCTATTTCTTCTTGGCTGAAGTGTGCGCTTAAAATAATTCCAGTTAAACATGGCCCACAATTTGCTTATGGCCCCGACCGGCATTTCCTCGCATTTCGGCAATTTCGGCCAGGCAAAGTTTGCTGGTTAGGAAAAGTAGCAGAAGAGCTTTCCTCGCTTTCCTGGCCTGTCATTCAAGTGGAGTTTCCATGCGGATTTCTTTTGGCCCCAAGGCTTGCGGCTGCAGAAGTGATTATGTGATTATATGAGGCCAAGATCTCAGAGGGCAATTCCCTGAAAACGATGGAGCAAGACGGAGCTAAGAGATTGGTAGGAAATGGTGTTTCACAATGTAGTTGATTCTACTGTACTTTTATTTCCTTACATAGCACCAATAACACCAATTTGAGTAGCATGATTATTACTATAAGATAATATTTTGTGTGGAGTTACAAGACGAAAATGCATGGTCATTCCAGCTATTCTGAATTATTATAATTGTGTGAAGATCTATTTTTGATGTCTAATTTGATTAGTTTTGTATAACTTAACTAGCATATATGTTTAGATAGCTACAACATTTGTCTTAGACGAACGCCGTACTTTCTGTAAACGCTCCACAAAGTCTCAGCTTCTCCCCGGTTACAATAGCCCTCATGAACTGAGGGCCCAAATACAGCCCCTTCTCTGTGCTCTTGGTGTCCCCATCCAATCGAATGATGTAATCCTTGCTTATCAGCCGCTTGGCCATGTCCTCCTCCAGCTTGGGTATGAGTATGTCATACAAAGTGTCATCGCCAGCTGCGGTCAGTCTTCGGTTTACAATCGTGCAACAGTTGTCATTGCGGAGGATCTCCTCGAACTGAAGTTTCACTTGCTGAAGAGTGCTTCTGTTCGGATAGCCCGATAGTCGCTCGAAGCACTTGAACTGGTAGAACCGACGCTCCAACTCGGCCAGGTCATCCAATAAGGGTTTTATTGGCGTTGGGTCATCCGAATGAGAGCGCGAGAGACGGCAGAGATCGCTGAGTAGTTTCTCTATCTGGGCGCTGAATAAATCTTCCAGCTTGGCATTGCTTAGAATGTCCTGTGAATTGGTGTTTATTAAGATACATTTTTTACGAGTTGAATATTACTTACTGCTAGTTTCAGTATAGCTGAGTGCAGTAGGGGAATTATGGTCAGATTGTAGATCTCGTGCATTTTCCGGGTCTCCATATAGTGCAGCACTTTCAAAGCTTCGTTGGTGTCGTCGAACAGCCTTTTTTGTCTGCTCACAGGAACGGCTTGGGCCTGCTCCCACACCTTCTGCCAGGTGTTGCCCTCAGTGGTCATTCGAATACTTAGTTTATGCTGCACCTGGCCCAGTTCTGTAATAAAGCATGACATGGATAAATGTTTAATCTTGATCAAATGTGAGCCACGTACCATCAGTGACCTCCTCCCAGTCTTTGGGACTGTACCAGCGTATAAAGTCCTCCATTGCGCCCCTGGGATTGGCGGCCTTGAACGCCTCCATATCGGAGAGCAATGAAGTGCACATCATTTGGGTGGATAGGCCGGAACCGGGTCCCAGTTTCAGCATAACTTCGGCATCGTCCTCCAGCTGATCCTCGGTCTTTGGAACCGGGTCCTGCGTCTCTGGGATATACAGATACTCATCGGGCTCCTCCAGCAATCGCTCGTTGTTCAAACGCCTGAGGCGACCCTCGGGCTTCAGACTGAGAACTGCTTTTGTGGGTGAGCCCGCACCGGCAGTCAGATCATCGCAGTCAAAGAACTCGCCCTCGTCGTCGTCCTCATCCTCATCCTCATCGTCTTCCCCAAGCTCCTCCTTCTCGGCACTAGCTTTTCGCACCATTCCCTCGGATTTTCTTTTGCTATTCGCCTCCCGTTGCACGCGACGCTCCACGCAAACGTTGAGCATCTGGAGTTTCTGGTGGAGGAGGCAGGTGCGCGTGTCGGGAAAGCCAGCGGAAATTCTGGGGGAAATCCAGAGCACTCGAAGGTGTTAGCATGTTGAGAACAACAGCGGAGGTGTTGATACATTCACTTAATTAATTAGGTTTATGCTGTTTGGTTTCGTTTATGTGCCTTATTGGATTCTCTTCTGCTTACATATTTAACTTTTTCAACGCTTCAGTGGGCTTTAAAGAAACTGCCTTCTCCTCTGTGATTGTAACTTCACTTCTTCTTTGAATCACAGTGTTCAAGTTTGAGATTTCATCTGAGTCTTAATTTATGCTCCAACCTTTTCATGGCTGGGCCAAATCTACCGCCGCCTTGTGGGCATATCAGTCACATTCTTCGGGCCAATCTCAGTCGCCGACTTGACAATAAACCCGACAAAGGCGGCCAAAAGCGAGCTCTCTCGGCCAAGTCGCCATGCATACATCGGGCTAACTATGGGAGGGTCCCACGTACAGACACACATATCTATCCCCTTCTGGAAGCCAATTGATATTCACGCTCATCATGGCTGTCAACGCGTGCGTGGCCCTCTGGTCTTGCATAGCCAATGAGCCCGAGAAGTGGCGGTGACTCAGCCCCAAGAGTTCGGTGAACTTTTGGAGCGGAGTAGGTTTGGAGCTGAGTGTGTTTGGGCCCGGCTACATGGGCTGCATTAGGGGGAAGTGAGTTATTTCGACCAGGACGGTGGCTGCCTGTTGGGCAACCGAAAAAGGGGAGCCCGGCAGCTCCTGTAGCTCCTGCAGCTCCTGCAGCTCCTGCACTTGGCATTTGCATAAAAGTTGCCTTATTAGTGGCTGCGTGGACAGCTGCAGCAGAGGAGCAGCTGCTTAAAAGGTTTTTAAAGTGGCTAAAATTGCACTCAACTTGACAGCGGGCGACCGAGCAAGCTGGCTGACAAATGGCTCTTGGCTTTTATTGACCTAATGTTGGCCACTTGACAATGTCCCTTTCCTAGGCATTTGGCCATCTCATCTCCTCGACACACTCATTTTGGCTGCACTAAAATAAGAACATCAAGTGTGCTCCAAGTCATTAATTCTATGTCTATTTCTGCCGGGTTTTTGCCCACCATCGCCATCCCCCATTGGGTTGCCCCAATAAACTAGCCCGAGTTACGTTTATTTTTGTGTGGGCAACAGAACAATTTAGTCGGCTTCAATGGCCAAAAGGATAAGCTGCGGTTAAATGGCAATTGTTTTTTGGCCTCAGAGCCAAAATGGAATGCTAAAGCCGGAATATTTAAAAGGGGATTTTGCCAGGGGATTTCCAAGGAATTTATTGGATAATTCAAGCACCAGGAAGTGCGACAACTTAACAGTATCAAATATTTATTAATTTAAAGTGCTTTATTAGCTTTAACAAATTAGTTAACCTCAAAGCTTTGCCTTTGACCTTTTCAAAGGATTCTAACCCTTCCAACGCCGCGCTGAAAGTTAATTCTCCCCTGAAAATGCAAAATTAATATGCCCCGAAACGGCTTCAAACTTCATCGGTTCAAGCTCAAAAAGCAACCCAGTTCATGGTGCTGCTCTCGATTTAATTCCTGTGGCTAAGCTGACCCAAAAAATGATCAACCCACGCACTCACACCTTGCCAATCTGACCCGAAAAGCAGCCAGTTCTATATATAATCCCATCTATATATAAACTTTTCAATTGACAACTTTTTCCTCGAGAGCACAGAACACAAAAAACAAACTCACTTTTTCCAACCTCAGAAATTCTAATCCACTTAAATGCTTAACAGCATTATGTGACCTTAAGCCCACAGCCGCCCCCGAGCCACGCCCACAAGAAGAATGCCCGGCTTTTGCTGAATAAAACTTCAATTAAAACATTTTTGTGCCTAGAGGTGTGTGATGGGACCAGAAGATTGCCCAACTTGGCCCGCAAGGCAGGTGGTTGAAAAAATCTGCCAAAACAAAAACAGAGCGCAAAAAAATTAACCGCTCGACCATTGTCTAAAAATGCAAATTTGCCAAGCCACCGACCGCCAAAAAATAAAAAAGAGTGAATAATTATGCGGCCACAACAAAAGAAACAGCCACCGAGTGAGAGAAATAGGAAAATCATTTGCACCTCTCAAGTTTTCGGCTGAGCAGGCAAAAAGGTGCACTTTTTGCAATACCCTGGGCTAAACTGAGTTAAATACAACATTTTTGAGTTATAAATATAGTAAGGATATAGAATAGCCTGGGCTAACCTGAGTTAAATACAACATTTTTGAGGTTTAAATGTAGTAAAGATATAGAAACTTATGACTCTATTCTGTACACGTTTTAGGTGGCAAATTCAGGGATTCCGTTTATAAATAGCCCATCCTTTCGATGGGAAAATGTAATTTAAGCTGTCTTTTCGATTTCCATTTATTCAGTAGCACTGCATTTTCCGCTTTGTTTTCCCGCTGCAATTTTCGCACTTTGCGCGCATTAAAAAATTTAGTGATGCAATTAATACGCAGAAGAAAACAAGAAAAGGCGACTCGCCGCGAATGAAAGAAAGGGAATAAAATGGTGCAAGAATTTTTTAATTAAATTTGTGGCCAGACAGCTGAGTGAGAAATGAGAAAGAGCCGGACGAGTGGCGAGTGCACAGTGGAGCTTGAAATATATTTCTGCCCGCTGCTTTTTTGCGGATTTAGCCACGTAATGCAATTTATAAGTTGAATTAAGGAAGAGACAGCCCAGCAAAAACCCCCAATTGCCATGAAAAATGAAGTCAGGCGCATCGGAAAAATTGAGACATCAAACTCGAGAGCCTCCGCTGCCCCCGGGGATTTATCTTATGGATTTCGGATTTCGGATCTCAGGTTTTGGGTTTCGGGTTGCGGATTCAGGGAGGCGTGACACAGCTGCCCAGATGGAGGAAAAACTATCAATCAAAAGACAAAATGTTGATTATTATTTGCGATGCAGCGGAGCGTGCAGTTTAATTATTACTCTGCGGTTGCCCGCCAGTTGCAGAGGAGCGAAAAAGTGGGGGTCTTGAATTTGCAATCGACTAACATCTCCAAAAACTGCGGCTTTCAATTTAAATTATACGGGAAATCTGTACAGCAAATTGTATTATTTGATTGATTAGGGCACGGCAACTTTAAGTGCGCAGCATTTTCCCGAAACGATTGTTCAGCAATGCACAAGTTTTTCTCGTTTCATGATTTCCTCTAAACACTCGCAAAACACTAATTTGATTAATTTATTTTGCATCTGCATTGATTTGACCGAAGAAGAACAGCAGGCAGTCCATTCACCTGTGCCCCTTCATCTGAAATTTCTGCTTGAAATCACATAATATAACAATGATCTGCGGGAATAAAAACTGTCTCAGACAATAACAAGCAAAGGAGGAGAAAAGTGTGTGTCATCATAACTCATGATTATGCAAAAAGGTCAACAGCTTCTTTGCTGACCCTTAAGTCATCGTCCATTGTTTGCATGGTGCCACTTTTTTGGGGGTTCAAAAGGGGTTCAAAGGGGTTAAAGGCGCAAAAAGGGGACTGGTGAAAAGGGGGCAATATCACGAGCTTGGCTTTTTTATGATGCGGCCAAATTAAATTAAATGGCCAACAAAAAGCTGCGCCGCGCAACACTTTTTATTTCGAGCGTTTGGCGGCGGTTGCTGTTTTTGAAAAGGAGTCCCCAAAGGGTTGCGAAGGATTTACGTTCGCTACGTCTTGCTCACCCTGGTTTTTATGCCTATTTTATGGCCAAAAGAGGAGCGGAAGAGGCCAGCTCAAGCACCTCGTTTGACAGGCGCAGCCAGGCAGACGGGCAAATTAATCAAAACTAAACTGCCCCAAGGATCAGATCACTGGAATGGGATGCCATGGGATGCCATGGGATGGCATGAGATGGGGCTCCTCTTTCACGCACTGTTTGCTGTCTAACGAGCATGAAAATGAAATTGAAAGTAGCCTGCCAAAACTGATTGATAAAGCTTGTCCAGTTGCCCAGTCGCCCACTTGCACTTCCCCTGCAGTGAGAAAAACATCATGTCATTTGTGAGCTAGTAGAAAAATGCATGCGCCATCTACAGATTAGAAGCATCTCCATCACTTTTACTTTATTTTTTGCTGTGCACACTTCTACTCGTAGACACTTACCCCAATGCGTATCCTTGACCAACTGACCAGTGAAGGATACCAGAAAACGGGGGAGATTTGCCTGCCAGGCGACAGTATTAATTGGGTAATTTATTGCCGGACTGTCCCAGACAACCTTCACTTTTTCACTGAGCCCCAGGATTCACTCTCTCCAACTGAGCGCCGTCTTTTCCCATTTACTTCTTGCAGCTCTATGCCGGCACCAAGATGAGACCAGGCCGAACGACAACAGCTTTACCAGCAGCGACCACGCCCCTGCTCCTGCTCCTGCTGCTCCCACTCATCCTGGGCAGGCTCCACTTGGCCCACGCCCAGTGTCCTTGGCAGAGGGATGTGCCCGACCTGCAGACGAGCTGCATCTGCGCCTACAATCTGGGCAGGGAGCTGTCCGTGCAATGCGACCAGGTGGGAATAGATTCTTAGTTTACTTCCAGTGTGTCATATGGTATCCAAGCTTCTCATTAAGTCCATACCTTTAATACTTAAGTCGCTGGTCTTACAACCCTTTATTTCCTGTTATCCAGGTGGACTTCTCTCAGCTCCTGGCTGCGATGAACACCCATGCCCGCCTGAAGCCCGTGGATTTGCTGTACGTGAACAACTCCACGATTGCCGAGTTGCCCAATGCCGTTTTCAGCAATTTGAGCCTGCACAATGTGCAGCTCTCGAGCTGCGGCATCCAGAGGATTGCGACGGGTGCCTTTAAGGGCCAGGAGTCGGTGTTGCGGAACCTCAATCTGCAGGATAATCTGCTGGCCGACGTGCCGGTGGAGGCGCTCAAGGTTCTGGGCAAGCTGAACCTGCTGGATTTGTCCAAAAATCAGCTCACTCACATTCCCGACGACGCCTTTGTGGGCCTGACAAAGCTCTCCACCCTCAAACTGAACGATAACAATGTTACCCTGGCCAGCAATGCATTTAGGGGGCTGGAGCAGAACCTGAAGAACCTAAACCTGAAGGGCACAAAGCAGCGAAAGGTACCGGAAAGTATCAGGGGTCTGAAGAGCCTGGCCTTCCTAGATCTCTCCCAAAATGGCATCAAAGAACTGCCGGGAGCGGGCGGAATCCGGGTTTTCGATGGTCTGGACGCTCTGACGGCCCTGAATCTGGAGAGGAATCTCATCCAGAGCATTGGCGAAACGGCATTTGCCGGCGTGCGAAAAACACTGAGCTCGCTGAGTTTGCTCAATAACCTGCTGGCCGAATTTCCCATCGGAGCTGTGCACTCCCTAAAGGAGCTGCGTGTCCTGGACATTGGCTTCAATCTGCTGACCAGCCTGCCGGAGGCCGCCTTCCGGGGCAATCCGGGCATCACCCTGCTGGCCCTGGACGGAAATCCACTGAGCAGCGTGCCCGAAGGCGCCTTCGCCCATCTGAATGCCACACTCCGCGGACTCTCCCTCGGAGGCAGGTTCCTCCACTGCGACTGCAAGCTGCGATGGGTGGCCGAGTGGATTCGCAACGGCGACTTGCAGGTGAGTGCTGAATGCAATCGAGAATCGGAGCTGGATGCCACACAAATCATTTCAATTAATTCTAACCAATCTTCAATTTGCCCAAACTCTTTGAAGCTATAAGCTTCTACATAAATGTTTAATGGACTCGTTTCCAGGGATTCCTTATATATTTCAATTCAATTTGATACCAACAATTTCTTTGCTAAATGTAAACGACAAATTCCAGCATCCCTAGCACATTTTTTTTGATTGTCTCGATAAAACTTATCAAATGGCCCATTTCCGATTGGCTCTCTTTGCCAACTTGCCAACTTTCGTTTCATTAACTGTGTTTTGGTTTGGCCACATGGCCTTAGGTTACATCGCGCGAACGGAATCCCCAGTTCTGTGGCACCCCACCTCGCTTCCGGGACCGCGGCTTCTACTCCATTCAGCCGGAGGAGCTGAGTTGCCCGGACATTGCCGATGCGGCCCTCCGTGGACCCGTCGGCCTGGCCGACAACCTGAAGCCCACTCTGCCCTCGTCGCCCGACTCCGTGGAATATGAAACTGGCACGGGCACGGGAACGGGTACAGTGGGCACTGGCACAGCTGCCTCTGCTCCGGTGACCAGCAGTGTGAGCAGCACCACCTCGGCAACGACACCCACAACAACCACAACGAGCACCACAGCGGAGCCAACGACCAGGAGTAGTACGGTGAGTGGGCAGGTGATAAAACCGGGCGGCATCGTTAAGTTAACAATTGCGGGCAAATAAATGCAAAAAAAGGGCGGAAGTATATCATGGTGGCATAAAGTGTCCGTACATTGCCGTTTCCTCGCCTACACTTTGTCACATAAATCAAGGGACATTATTCGCACTCCGTTGATGGTTCATTCTTAAAGTACTTAAATCAAGTAAACAAATTTAGTAGAACTTTAAGAGTTAACTATCGAGTTTATACATGTGATACCTATACATTTTGCTATACCAACTCCAACAGACTCGTCCCCCGACCAAGGCAACTACAACGATATCGGCCACCACAGCCTCGCCAGCTGCCAATCCCACGGTGAATGGAACGGGCACAGTTCAGGCCACCTCCATCACGACGAGCAGCAGCTCCTCCTCCTCCTCCTCATCCTCCACGTCCACGGGTCACGGCAATGGCAAGCAGGCGCCGGGCTGGCGCCAAGGAGTGACCAATGGCAATGGCAATAGTGCAGGAGCAGGAGGCCTCCACAAGCCGCAGAGGCCACCACTTGTCCTGGGCTATCCACCGCAGCGGGGCACTCGCATCGACGATGCCAACGAGGTGCAGGTGAAGCACGCGTTCCGGCAGGATAGCTCCGTGATCATCCAGTGGGACTCGGACACGGCGAATATCCTGGGATTCCGCGTGGTCTACCGCCTGTTCGGCGAGAAGGCCTTCAAGCAGGGACCACCGCTGGAGTCCAGCGAGCGCGAGTTCAAGATCAAGAATGTGCCGGCCCAGGAGTGCATCATCGTGTGCGTCATCTCGCTGGAGGAGCTCCACGTGACCCCGGAGACGGTGCCCTACCAGCAGTGCCGCGAGGTTCGCACGGTCGCCTCGCAGGCCTCCAACATGGACAAGATAACGATTGCGGCCAGTGCGGCCATTTGTGGCACCATCATTGTGGCCGTGATTGTCTTCATCGCTGCCAGCAGGTGGGTTCCTATACACTTTGAATACTCCACTCCACTCCTTTCCTTTCCTTCCCGGCCAAAGAGTTATTACCCAGCAACTGAGCCACGGACAAAGCCAATTGCTGTGCAAAGTGGCTGGCTGATTTATCGCAGGTCCTTAAGTCTTGCCACTTTCCTATACAGTGTATTCTTGGAATTTGTTACGCTCTGCGCTGAGCAAAGTATCTTTACACTTCATCATCTTTCGGTGCAACCCATTGTACTCTGCTAAGGGTTATTGTAATTTGTTTAGGAAGGCTGTTAAGATTATCATTGACTCCACTTGCAGGCCAAACAAAGAGTTCGAACACAGGTATGCCCTCCTGAATTTGGACAAACTGTGATGCCTCTCCTTTGTTTCATATATATTATCCAGGCCATGTAATTTATTTTTATCTACGCAGTCCAGCTATGTGAAGTGCAGGACTTTCATTAAGTAGCTTACTATGCGAAGCTCGAAAAGTAATTCGTAACTAGGTGAATCGCCGTTTAGAACTATAAAACGAGATAAATGATGCGATTGCTTGTTTGGCAAGGGTATTTAGGACCCCCATTTCTTTGCGAGACTCATCCTTGCCCCGTTTGTATCTTTCGCAGACGCTCCCGCAAACTGCAAAGCAGCCAGCAGAAGAGTCCGCTGCCAATTGGAGGTCTGCCCGTTAATTGCTGCGGTCCGACCGGTTCACCGGGACCACTTGGCTCCATTGCAACGCTATCGGCATTTAACAATCACAAGGTGAGTAGTCCAATCTCCACCCTCTGGGCCTCCACTTGGTTTGGCTCGAGGAGGAGCTTGCCAAGAGCCAAGAAATTGTTGCCACTTCTGGCTCCCGGCTGGCTGGCCAACTAAATAGCTGGCTGACTAGCTGACTGGCTGACTGGCTGACTGGCTGACTTTCTGTCCGGATTGCCGGATAGCTGACTGTCTGGGATGGGGGACTTAGTCCATGACTACGGGAAATTGGCAACGACGCGATTTGATGGCTGTTGATTGCATTTATGGAGGCAGCACATTAAGTGGAGCGCGGCTCAGATAAATAATGCGAGTGCAAAAGTATTTCAGATTGGCAATCTTCCGTTTCTACTTTTTGGCAAGGCTGCTTTCAAAATAGTTCAGCACCCAATTAAGTAGCAGAAGGTGGTCAAAATCGCTAGTTGAGCGTGTGGAAATGGAAAGTTAAGTGAAAGAGTTAAGTTTAAGCCTAGAAATCTGCTTTGCAGGAATGGGATCAAGTGTCGGCCTACAGTGGTCGCTCGATACCGCGGCCGCGCATATATCCCGTGGAGCAGCCGGATGATATGAGGAGCCACTTCTCCGGAATGCCCGGCAAGGTGGGCAAATCAAGGTGAGTCGACTCTTTAGCCTTCTGCAATCCGCGGCGAACCAAACATTTGCCCTGCATTCCGTGCCTGCTGCATTATTTACACTTATTATTTATTTCGTTCGTTCGATTCGATTGTTTCATTGTTTGTTTATGCATTACACTCACACACTCACACACATGCCCACAAACCACAACCGCACACCCACTCGCCCACACACACGCCACTACAGTAGATCCCTGGCGGACGGACAGTCGCAGCACAGCTTCTCGAACAACTCGCACCGCGGCTACTTGGGCAGCGCCTTCCCCTCGAACCTGGTGAACTCCCGGCCGGAACTGCGCCAGTCCCGCCAGTCGCTGGCCGCCGCCTCGGAGCGCATGTCCCGCGCCTCCTATGCGGGATCCATTCACGGCGGGAACGGAGGAGGCGGTGGGCTGGGCGGCAACGGAGGAGGCGGAGGCAACGGACTGCCCGTGAGCAGCCTGATGGCCATGAGCGGAATGGTGGGCGGCGGCGGACCGGCCAGCATCGCCTCCAGCGCCCGGAGATCCCGACCGCGCTCCAGATCCCGGGAGCAGCTGAACACCACCCACATACATAACCATCGACCGGGAAGTCGGTAAGTAGAGCACCAGAGTCCGGCCAGACAAACTAATTAAATGCAGCTCACACCCACTACGAGATCGTCGTTAAACGCGCATTATCACGGATTACAAATCACACAGCCCAAACAACACTTTCAATTCTTTCTTTTTTTGTTTCTGATTTCCGACTTTTGCGTTGAAAATTTCTTAATTCAATGGCTTTTGTTTGTTGCTATTTTAATTAGTTTTTTATGAATGGGGTGGGGCCGTCTCCTAAAATTTCAATGCCAGATTTAAGCGCAAGTTTCTCGGAAATCGTGAGAAAAATAGCCAGTTATTGATTAATGAGCCAGTTGTTTATCAAACACCTTTGACTCGTGTGCGCTGTTTCACATTTCACCTTGAACTTAGAGGATGACTACATATGCATACCTTTGATTGATGGTTCCTACTCAAGTTCTTGGTTCTGCTTACCAGTAACTTGTTATTCGTTTAAACGATTCGCCCGAACCTGAGTACAAAATAGAGATTAATCTACCATAAATACTAACTGCTTTCAGAGTAATTAACTTGGCTTTTCCAAGCCCGAACCGAAACACTTTCGAACTCCTTCCCCGCTTTACTCTCAGCCTTGATTGGCAACTATCCATCGCCGCAATCAAATCAAACTTTCATTGATGTGTTCAAAAATTCTGTAACTGCGGTGTGTACATGCATTCCTTTCACCAGTCCACTAACTACTAACCCAAAGGCCCCTTCCATTCCCATACCCCGCTGTATAAATTTCCACTGATTCCATTAATTTTAATTGCGTTTCGCTTCGATTCGAGCATTTCTACTGTTTTGCTGCACAAACGCATTGGGCAATGCGTCAGTGTTGCACTAGTGAATCTCTGATATAATCGATGCAACCGCCAACCGAATGGCTGGCTTTCTGGATTACTTTGCAGATACTCGCAGGCGGGATCGACGCACACGCTGAACAACTACTGCGACACATCGGACAACTGGACGGATCACGACATGGACATCTATATGGCCCGCAATCCGACGACGCGCAACGGTTTAGTGCCATTATGAGGGCGACTCACGTTGTCCTGATATTTCAATGTTGTATTAAACTGGGATGGCATCTTCTGACAATATCTGACGCCGACCATTGAGGGGCGCGGGGGCAGGGGGCATGGTCGGCGTCAGCAGCAGCAGCAGCAGCAGCAGCAACAACATCAGCAACTGCAACATCAGCAGCAGCAGCGGCAGCATCATCAACTGCAACAGTTGAGGAACGAGCGACATCAACAACGACACAGAAACAATCAGCAATGGGAGCAGCCATATCAGCCAGCACAGCAGCAACATCAACGATTACACTACTATATGCCGCAGACGGAGCGCTGCACCTCGCCCCCCGACGTGGTGCCCCGAGCAGCCAATTTCCATAATAGCAACACCACCAGTACTGGCCACCCCGACAACAGCAACAGCAACAGCAACAGCCACAACAGCAACACAACCAGCAGCTGCAACAGCGCCCAGCAGCAGCAAGCGTCGCTGGCTTTGATGACAGCAGCGCTGGGAGATGCAACTTCAGCAACAGCAGCAGCAGCAGCAGCCAGTGGCATCGTTGTCGAGAACTATTTTAACGAATATGAACGTCAGGAAATCATCTATCATCATCCCACAAGCAGGAGCAGCAGCAGCAGCAGCAGCAGTAGTGCGGCCGCAACACGCCACGTTCCCCGCAGCAACGCCTTCCGTTTACAGCTACCCGCAATGGCAACGGCCACGACTAACAATATTTTATATAATATCAGTAATAAGCATGATGCAACCGGCAACAACGGCAGCATCGGCAATTATAAGGCGCATACGTTTAGTGATAGCTGTAATTGTACATGTAATTGTAGTCTAAGCGAGGAGGAGGAGATGAACCAGGAGACACCCGAGACAGCCGAAGTGACAGCAGCAGCTGGGCAGGATGGGAGGCAGGAGGGCTCATCCTTGGCCAGCACCTCAGTGTCGAGCATAGAGCAAGTGCGGCGAGAACAGCAGGGGCAGGAAGTGTCCTTGTCTCTGAACTTGACATTGGCTGACGCGGGGGCAGATGCTGCTGCGGATGCAGCAGACGCCTCTGCAGACAGGGCCGAGCTTTGAGTGCAGCTCCTTGATGCTGCTGCTGTCACGGCCTCTCGGAATTCTGGGATCTGCATAATGCATAATAATGGCACGGCAGACGTTGAGGTGTAGTACAGAGGAATAGATATTTTTATACGCTGTTTAGAGTGCAATAACACAACTTTCCCCAGTTCTTTCTGCAGTTATCGAAGAACTACAACTTAAGTCAATATGGTACTAAACCCTTACACTTAATAGCTGTTAGACTAACTAATGACTAGCGCGTAAGGAGGCGGGGTCATTGGCGCTGGGATAGACAGGCACAGAAGTCGCTGAGAGAGCACAAAAAGCAATATGTACATAATCTAGAATGAGCAACAGCCAGTCCTATAAGGTGTAGTTTACCCGAACGCAATTCAAAGTTTAAAGGTTTTCAAGGTAGTTAAGAGCCAAATAACCAATTGTAGTAGGTCGAATTAACGTTTCACACACCTCAAACCATTCCCCCTACATTCGCTAGTCTAGAACTCTTATAATTTCCTTAAATTCATTTACTTTCACTCTATGTTCGTCTGTCCCAGCCCCGAGCTGATCACCCATTCCAGTAGTTTGAAGCAACCAAACCATTTACTGCCTGAACAGTTTAAGTTTAACTCACATTGAAGTCAGTTTCAGTTTCAGCTTCAGTTTCAGTTTCAGTTCGAAATCGATTTTAAGTCTAGACTTGTTTCATTTCGTTGTGTACAGAAGCTTCAATCGAAACTTTACGTGCTAAGTTCTGTCTTACGTTTATGCTTTTTACTTTCGGTAAGATTTTAATAAAAGAGTACATTACACATCTTTGGTTTTATTTGCCCTCGTTTGGTTTGTATGCCTGCTTGCTAGTCGAGCGCCTGTACATCGATGTATATAGAAGTTCGTAGGCTTAAGCGTTCGAAACGATTTCGGTTCATCATTATCCTAGCTTTACCATTATCATTGTCGTTGGAGGGACGGGTCCGGATAAACAGTCCGGGTCAGTCCGGCGAAACACAGTTGACAGTTAACAATATTTAGTGCCCGTGGGCCGGATTCCGCTGGGAGCCACAACAAGTCCATGTCTGGCACTAGATACTTAGTGCAGTAAGCTAATATCTACTCTATATTCTACACACTAGTCCTAAGAACCAGTTGTAGGCCAGGCTTTGAGCATTAGACCAGTAAGCACAATTTAGGTGGAAAACGGGAGCAATTATTTAGAACAAGAAGTAAGCAAATATTCCAATAAACATAGGCAATAAATTCAGAGAAAGAACAAACTAAATATGTTTCCGTTGAACGTTTCCCTTTAAAGCAAGCCAATGAGAAGTAGAGGAACAAATATCCGCAATTAGCATAAGAAACTTTAAATCAAACTTAGTGTTAGCAATTACAATTTAATTAAACTGCCTTAGCACACTGAGAACGATGAAGAACGAAACGAGTGGGGAGAGGAGAGCACGTGCTTAAATTTAGTTTAGCTGCACTGGAAGAAATACAGCAACCGAGAGATGAGCAATACTAATGATAATCGGTGACACCAAAACTGCCAGCCACAAAAATATACACATATGTACATCATTCAACTAGGGGAGCAGTGGAGCACGTCCTTCAAAGGAGCCCTTCTCTGGAGTAACTACGAAGTAAAACGAAGACACCAACCGATTCCGAGGGAGATGAGATAACACCACCAATTCAACGCAGTTAGAGTTATAGTACACGATCCCATAATTAATGTGCGTTATACTGTTAAATGTAAATCCAATTCAAGTGTTAACTTTGCGGCTTCACAGATTAGCAACTAAATTTACTAGACAATTTACGAAAAGTTTCGTTTTTGGTCCTTAGTTCGTACGCATCAAGTTCCGAATAAAGCATATTTTTGTTACTATCTGTCGACTGACAGCGTTTTACTCACCCGGGAACTGTGAGCGAGTTGTCCCACAGCAAGCGAAGCTGACGGGTGAAGGCCGCCCACGCCTGGGCCATGCCCTCGACGCTGCCCAGGTGGGCGTGGCAGGTGGCCAGCAGACAGCTGAGACGACAAATCAACGAATCGGGAACAGCGCTCTTAAATCGCATGGGGTCGAACTGAAAAATGACAAAAATCCATTAAGAAAGGTTTGTTCTAAGCTGCACTCAGCTGCACTCACCTTATCCTTGAAGCTCTTTTTGGCGTAGGGAAACAACGCCATCTCGGGATGCATATCGGGGAACAGATACGCCAACAGTTCGCTCAACTCGCTTTCGGTCATGGGACCAGGTAATCGCTTAGTTAATCCCGCCTGCGAGGGCAACTCAAAGCTGCCTTCTCTACGCTTTGTCAGCTTGTGCTCTGTGATGCGGTCCAAGGGATTGGATGCGGCCTCTGCTCCGCTGCTAGTGCCGGAGAAGTTTCTGCCCACAAAGGACTCCAGAGACCTAGTAACCTCTGCCACCGATTGGTAATCCCTCAGGCAGCAGGAGAGATACGATGAGGCTTCAACAGAGAGGTATACCTTGCCCAGCGGAGCTTTGGAGGGCACAAAGTCGCTCCTCTGCTCGCTATCAAAGGCCACGTGTTCGGACAGCTCTGGCCAGGTGTAGACCAGGTAGATTTCCGTGCGAGACTCGGGAGTGTAGCCATGTGGTAAGGCACAGAACTGCTGCACCTCCAGGTCCGAGACTTCTCCATCCACTACGGTATCCTCGGAGCTGAGGCCGTGGTCGAAGGGCACGTACATGGGCATGCGGATGCGCATGGTGTCCAGAGCGTAGGTGGTGCAAACGGAGATCATGGCCGCCTGGGAGTAGGAAGTGGGCACCTTTTCCCTGAATAGGGTGAGCAGACCCATCAGGAACCGACATTCTGGCGGGGCCTTCTCCAGTCCAATAAGCCTGAAATTGGTTCTCAGCGCAGGCGCCAGGGCCACGCCCGTGTAGAAGTTCCATTTGGGATCGTAGATCTGGACGAAGATGGGAACCACGCTCTGAACTTCGGCAGAAACAACGGCGACGGCGCTCAGGAAGAAGTTGAACTCCGAGGTGGACTTCATGTAGTTGAGAGTGCAATTCACGGGGTGGAGGACAATGAACCTCCTTAGTCCGTAGATCCTGGCCAGTATGTGCAGATCCTGCGAGCTCCTAATTGGAGGACCAAAGCTACTCCCAGTTGACATGAGGTCATGGTGGCAACTGGTGCGTTGCAGGCAGGAATTCTCCTTGGTCTCCTCCCTGGAGAGTTCCTCGTCCTCCAGGACGGCCTGGTGATACTCCACCTCAATGCCATTCTTCAACATGTCCAGCTTTTCCCTCTCCACCTTCCAATTGCAGGTAAAGATTTCCTCGGATTTGAGATTCCGCGATTCGGCATCTGCGGATACGTCCCATTTCTGGAGGATCTCGCCTAGCTGGGCGTTGAACACCTCCCAGTCGGAATCCGCACTGAAGTTCTCCCGGTAGAATTCGTTATCGTCGATTTCCTCGGCCATTTTATAGGAATTTGAACGCGTATAACAAAAGACAACAAACTTAAATCGCAGACAACAATGGACCAGCGCTGCCAGACCTTTGCGATTGGCCACATCAGCTTATTGTTATTGCCAGCATTGAAACAAGTGTTGGAAAGGAGAACCCAAATTTGGTTAGAACTTTAAAATCGTATTAAAAGTATATTAACGACAATCTATTTGTTTAAAGTTCCTCAAGCTGATTTCTCAATTTTATAAGAGTGTTTTGGAGATTCAATAATTATTTTACCCGAACGGAGGTTTGTATTTTTCATAAGAGAGTGAAGTATTTGGTACTTTTGTTGCCCATCCCTGCGAGTCCTCAAGCGATCTGGCAACGCACGACTAGCAACAAAACAGCTTTTTGTTTACCAAACTATTAATTTTGTATTTGCTAAAGAAAAGTTAAGAATTTGCACAATGTTTGCGGGCAAGCGAGTTAGGGCCCGGGCGAAGAACTTCACCATCGAGGAGGAGGAGATCCTGGAGAACCTGATCCTGGCGCACCGCGATGTCATCCGCAGCAAGCAGAAGGATCCGGCCATTTGGAGGAAGAAATCAGAGGCATGGAAGCAAATTGAGGCGGACTTCGCCCTTCAAACCGGAATGGAGCGTCCTTGGCAGGCTCTGCGGGAGAAGTACACCAACAACCTGCGGATGATGCGAAAGAACGGAACACTGAGTGATGAGGAGGCACAGACGGACGATGCACAGGAATCTGGGCAGAACTTGTCGATTTCAGAAGTTTCTTCGCTGGTTGGAGCTGCAAATAATGAAGAGAGTGAGTACAAGATAGCGGGATCACTAGCAACTACTTGCTATGACCAATTTCATAGAACATCTTATCACCAAGAGATGTGTACCTCTATAATCTTCCATGACAGGTTCTTGTACATCTGCAATTCAGTGCTATTTTTATCACTATTAAACTCTTTTATATAGGTAGCACCGATTTCGATCCGGAATACAGTCGCAAAAACAGCCTGAGAAACGCCTCTAGCGAAATTAAATTCGCGCCAAATAACTTACGCTACGCAGTTGGGAGCCCCAACTATGATGTTCTGAATTTAAAAGACGAGTCAGACCCCTTAGGCGAGGACACATCAAGTACCCTGAAGGAGGAGAGGCTCGTTCTAATCAAGCTGCAGCAGGAGTACTACCGAGGTGAAAACGTCCGGGCAGCCGAGAAGCACAAGATTGAGATGGAAAAGCAGAAATATGAGCTGGAGCAGCGCAAGGTGGAGCTGCGAAATATGCGCCTTAAAAGCGAACTTCTCGAAGCGGAAATTCTGGTAAAACGACCAAAAGTCGGCGCAAAGAATGCTTCTTCCTAAGGAGTTACTAGCTAATAGGATAGTTAAATTTACTTTGGTCCATCTAATTTCAGTGCTTTTCAATAATTACTATAAGTAAAGTCCTAGCTTACGATCAACAAAAGAAACTGAATTGATGTTAAACCAGAATTACAATTACATCTTCAAAAGATTTAATAATGTTTGTCATACTTCTAAACATTCGTCTACAAATTAACAAGTAAGCTGGATTTAAGCGGCGTTATCCCTCCTCAGTTCGAATGAATTGCTTGTTTATGCTCGGTCGTTCTGTTTGGTTGTATTTATTAATTTACATCGATCCATTCACTATGCAGTTGGGGACTTAAACGATAACCGCTCCTCTAGCCGACAACGAGGAGGCCCTCGCTGGGGAACTCGTGGGTGGGCACCTCCAAGTTGAGGGGCGCGGGTCCCTTGCGGATCCTACCGGAGGCGTCGTAGTGGGAGCCGTGGCAGGGGCAGTAGTAGCCACCCCAGTCGCCGGCGTTCGCGATGGGCACACAGCCCAGATGCGTGCACACTCCGATGACCACCAGCCACTCGGGCTTGATCACACGTTGCTAAAAAGAGAGTGGAGTAACAGCATGAGCGAAATTCCCAAAGGTTGTGGAGCTTAAGTGGAGAGTGGGTCGACTTCTGTGGCTGGCTTGTAAGCCATTCAAATTGACACACTCCAGGGTACCTACATCATCAGCCTCCGGATCGCGCAGCGTGGATGTGGGCACATTTCGCTCGGTCTCGATTTCCGCGGCGGTGCGGTGGCGGATGAACAGGGGCTTTCCGCGCCACTTGAAGGTAACAGACTTGCCCTCCGGGATGTCGGACAGCTTGATCTCGATCTTGGCCATGGCCAGCACTTCGGCGGAGGCGCTCATCGATCCAATGAAGGTGTTGACCAGACCCTTGGCCGCATAGGCACCGCCCACGGCTCCAGCGCCGACCATCAAGTAGGAGAAGGCCTTGCGCTCCTCGGCGGTCTCGTTGCGACGACGACTGTCCTTCACGGAGTCCCGGCGGTATGGCGAGAAGTCCGGCACCTGCAGGTCGGTGTGTGCCTGGCGGTTGGCTGGAAGGAAAGAGCGATTCATTAGGCATCCATTGATATGGGGTTTTAGATGTTTAGTAAGTCCTTTGGCTGATTGAGGTACGATTGCTTGTTTCGTGTAAACAATATGGTTTCAAGGTTGCCAAGGCTGAAGGTATGTTCCTTATAGCTGACGCTGGGTAACTTCTGCCAACTTGTGATATCTTGGCGTCCCTTTAAGATACTGGTGTCAAACTTCACATGATGGTAACCTTGATCGCGGAGATAGTGCATCCCAAGTTTGGTCGCAATCGGAGGAGTTTATCCCATTGATCCGATGTAAATTGCAGGTGAGCCAGTGATTGTTGTTATTGTACGAGGTTATGTTGAAATTACGTAAGGAAAGTTGGCGAATCCCCTCGAAGCCGAGTGCAAATCGAGTCCTGGCAGCATTTGCAACCTTTTAATCAACTTTTTCCGCGTATTTCCCGATCCATTCATTATGTAATGGCTGTGTTTTCAGCTGGCAGCTCGATGAAACTGCCTCGCAGAGCCTTACCCATCGAGTTGACGGCCACGCCGCTCGCTTTCAATCCTGTGGAGAGGACCTGGGCTCCGCCTCTGACGTAAGCACGCGACACGGCGTTCATCATTTTGTATGTTTTCCTATCAATTTAAATGATCACGAAAATTTCGACGTTTGTCGTTTTCGTCAATGAACCAGTGTGACCGCACTCAAATGCGTGCAAAATACCAGCCAGCCTGCAAATAATACCGCAATATACCAGTGTAGTCACGGGCAATACCAGTGCTACAGCAGTATTTCAGTGCTGCCCGCTGTTTGCATTTCAAGAGTTGCCACTACGAGTGCTCACTGACAGGGGCTGGTCGCTATTACACTTTCGTAACGTTTTTTTAAAGAATTACTATGAATTCTATTTGCAGAGAATATTCAGAGAATATATTAATTAATTTAAAAAATATATATAAAGGGCTAGTCTAGATATTTTAACTGCTGGGAAAAGCGCATGTATAGGAAAAGAATAAAGAGAAATAATAAAGAGTATTATTTTTTTTAACATTGCAACCAACCCTCAATGCATAAAAGCTTTTATTTTAATTTGAATCGATATGCATTTTATTTTTGAATAGAAAATCCTGCGTCGAATTAAATTGCATTTGTTTCACCTTGCCATTCAATCCTTTCATCCCCTTTCGATTTCCCCGAAAAGGTGAAGAGGCTTAGCATCCACCCTTCGCATTCAAGTGAAAACTACCTTCCTTTTCAATTGGAAACTGCAGTGACTTAGATTTTCACCGGATGGAAAGGGGTTTCCATGGCAAACCGGTTGGTCAACGCACCACCGTGTGGAAGACAAAAGATGATGTCCAACCACCGGACTTTCACCATCCAGTTTTTCCACTGCACTTTTCCATTTTCCCCCGGGCAGCATCATTATGATGTCATTGATAGCACTTCGTTTGATGTTTCCTATTTTATTCGGGGTGGTTTCGCTCAGCCTAATTAATAAGCGAACCTCTTGAATTGGAGATATGCCACGGCTGATCTCATCCAACGCATAAAAAATGGCAATAAAAACTGCACAAAAAACAGCCGATGTAGGGGAATTTGTTATGCGCATAAAAGTTGGCCACCCGAAATTTGGCCAAACTTTAAAACCAAAAAAGCGGCGTGGCAGCGGGGAAAACTCTCCCGCAGCCGGCTGAAATGTAATTCCTCTGGCGCCAGTCCTGTGATTATCGAAAGTAGTTCTTTTTGATGTCGAAACTTTGCTGCCACCCACTCTCCTGCTTTCTCTGGCTAGGTGGCAAGTGAAAGTGAGGCCGAAAGTGCGCCCCTCCTCCCTCCGATGTGTTCATCTATTTCCCAGCCGGAGAAGGAAAATCTGCGCACATAACGGCGCCTCTATGTACTTGGCCCAAAGCACGCACACATAGAAAGGGGGCTCCTTCGGAAAAGTGCGTGAAATTTTGCTAAAAACAAAAACAAACTTCAAAATTTTGTTGGGATGCGGACATGGGGATACTCTACATGTACACAAATAACCGAATTTATTTTTCATTTCTGATTTTATTAACCATTTTAATATCTAGGCTGCAAGCAGTAACCACTAGTTATGATCCAAGATTTGACATTTACACAAATATATATATTTTTTAACCACATCTAATCCAGATAACCATGATTTCTAACCGTGTAGAGGCCTGAAAAGTTGAAACTATGCCGCGTAGGCGACGTGGCAACGGCATCTGCCCTTTCCCTGGATTTTCCGCACCCACCCACCGAATTTTCCAGCCACCACAACGCCCCCCAACTTCAAAACTCGACCGCATCCCCACACCGATTTAACTCGTGTCAAGCTTCGACTGCGTTACACTTTTCAGCAACTTTTACATGGGAAACTGGCGCCAACTACAACAGCAGCAGCAACAACAACGTTTCAACCCTGCCCCAGGGCAGCCCCCCTTCCACGCCCCTTTCCGCCCTTTCACCCATTTCTGTGCGGCGTGTGCAGCGTTGCGGCTGCGGCAGCAACAACATCAGCACAGCGGTAGCAAGAGGCGTACACTCGAAAAAGTATTGTTAAGCTTTTGAAAAATGTGGCTAGGGACATTTAGTTAGTTAATATAAACTTTTAAGCTATGCCCCCATGTGCTAGGTTGGGATTATGAATGGTATGTGTTATATTATCAATTTTAAGGTAATTTGAGCTGTGTAGCGGCGACGACATAGCCTGCTTATCGCAACATCAGCCAAGCATAAAGCTGAGCCCACCCAGAGTAGCGCCACACACCCCTTGGAAAAGTTGAAAGTGGAAAATTGTGCGTGGCAGGCAAAAGTTTCTGAGGTTCCCTGACTGACTGACAGTCCTTCGCAGATGCGGAGGCGCCGCCACGCCCACTGCTATCCTGATAGCCTGCTATCCTGCTACGCCATACCCCTTCCCCGCGCCGACTTTACCCATTTGCGAAAACGAAAATTAAATGAACAGAATCATCTGTGCAGCATCAGCGAGCCGAAGGAGCCGCAAGGACCTCTGAAAATTGCGTACGACTGCCGCATGTGCAGCGGTGCTTGGATCCGAGAATTTGGCACAGCTGGCGGTCATTTATGGGCCCATCTTGCCGACTTCCTTGGCCCCATCCGCTCCGGCTTGGTTTTTGCATTTGAAATGATTACTTTCCAGCCTCCGGCTTCCGCTTCTCGGCCAGAAGAGGCTCAAGTCGCCCATTTTGGGCCAGTCGGATTAGGTGACCATGACAATGGCCAGTGCTTTGTTTTCATATTTTATCATTGGCCGTGCCGCAGGACACGGCTTTAAGGCGTGTGAGTAATGATCCTTCATCGGATATTTTAAGCGGCCCATCACCTTTCTAGGTACTTGCCTGCGGTTCTAAATGTGGAAAAAACAAGGATCGAAGGTATTTCAATGTAAACATAGAAAAAGTACTTTCTCTTTTAAGACAGAGTTTAAATTATATATCAGCATTAATAATATGGTAATAATAATATCAGCTTCTTATATCCTACACGCTTCTTCATAGCTTTTCAATTAAGTTTGTGTCTGTCGAAACTATAAAGAGGTGGGCTTTTGTTCATCTAATAATATACCTGGTGGACTTTTTAACCCAATTTAATCAACATTCTCCTGCTCATGTCCGCGTCCACCTCCGATTCCTGCCCATATGGCCAGTCATATATCCCTTTTTATCCTCTTCTCGGCCTGAAAGTTTGTCAACAACTCTCGCCTTGCCGCCGGCTAAGTAGAAGGACCAAAGTTCCCAAGGCAGGATATGTTTTTATTGTGGGTTTAAGCGCGAGTGAAACCTGCCCTAAATTCGACCAAGCGGCTTAAAAGAAAACGGCAAGGCAACGCGAGGAAAAGCGGGAAAAAGTCGTGTGGCACGCGCAGCAGGAAGCATTGTGGAGGAGGGGCAGGGGAATAAAAAGGAAACGACTACGCTGCGTTTTCCCCAACCGAAGGAGGACTCCTTTCCACTTGCGAAGGCGCAGCACGCATAAATCTACGGGCCCAAATTACATTATTTTGTCATTTTCCTTGGGCGGGCAGCTTGGAAGGCGGGCAGGCGGCTCCCTCGGCGTTTTGCG